GAGGGCACACTCTGTCCCCTGTCCAGGTCAGTGACGAACGCAGCCCTGCCTGCACACCCCCATAGCCCCCCCCCGTGCCCCAGTCTGCCTCCCTCCCACTGCCACAGCCCTGTGCTGCCCCTAGTCCTACCTCAGCTTGTCGAAATCCTGCACAAATGCTTTCAGAATCTTCAGGACATCATCAGCGTGGATGCACACAGATGGAACGGAGCCCAGCGAGCTCCGAGGGGATTTGATCTCGTCCCTCTGGGCATTGGATCCACCGTCCTCTCTGTCCTCAGCCGGATCCATGACATCTTCTCCACGCGGGCTGCCCTGGCTCTGGAGGGAAGGCCAGCAAGCTGGCTGCTGTGCCTTCCACCATCTCCTCCTCCCCAAGAGCCATGTTCCCCCTGGGAGCTTCCTTGTCCCTTGGCAAATTTAGGGAGCTGAGGCAAAAATTCATGTGCAAGAGGCTCTGTTCAGCCCCAGCAGAAGATTACAACCGCTCAGCCCTTGCACGTTCACCTCCCTTGTCCGATCACAGGGAAACATTTCAGGGCCAACACACTGGTTCCCTTCTCTGCCTTCCCTGGATGGTCAGGAGATGTTCTGCTCCCCCCTTCCCTGGACCCCTGGCTCTGCTGAGCTCTCCCCACTGCTGTCCCTGGTGGTCCCACCTGGCTGACGGCCACCTCCTGGGCTTTGTACTTCAGGAAAAAATCCACCAGCTGGTACAGGTCATCCTCACTGTCGATTTTGAGGGCCTGGGGAGCAAAGGAATCAGGTTAGCGTCCCTCAGAGACATCACGAGAGGGGGAGCGAAACAAAGAGCATTTCCCAGAAGCGGAGAGTGCCCCTCTGGTGATGCCACGCAAGACCGGAGTGGGTGGTAAGAACTGGTTAGTGTGGGAGAGTTGGGGTTATTTATGGATGGCAGAGTCTGAGAACAGGCTGGAGATGATGCTGCATTCATCAGCAGGATGGCCTTGAGCTGAGAAGCATCTGGCCACAGCGCTTTACACCCTCCTGCCGTGCTCCTCCTGCCCCAGAGCCCTCCCAGCAGCCCAGCCGGATCTCCCTGGGGCGGCTCAGCCCTACGCTGCGCGGACACGGGCAGAGAGCTCTCCCTTGTGACCACCAGCCTTCCCTGTGCCCCCCGACAGGCCAAGCCACAACTCACCGCAAAGATGGAGTCGAGCTTCATGAGGATGCGTTCGTGCCTCCCCAGCTCGTGCAGGGGCCTCAGCAGCTTGCTCTCAATGAGGAAACCCTTGGGAGACACGTAGAGGAGAGAGTGCAGAGAAATAGCGAGCGTCTCCGTCCCTGCCCAGAAGCCAACCCATGCCACGCTACGGCCGTGCCATCCTGCCATGGCAGGCTGAGCGGGCAGGGGGGGCAACGGGGGGGCGGCGGGGCACGGGGGAGGCTGGCAGGACCAGGAGGCTCTGGAACAGCCAGCCAGCAGGCAGGGAAGATCGAGTTGTCTGCACAGTGATGCTAAAAGGACCTCATGACCACCCTGGAGGTGTTCAAAAAACATGTAGACGTGGCGCTTCGGGACATGGTTTAGTAGGCATGGTGGTGTTGGGTTAACGGTTGGACTTGATGATCTTAGAGGTCTTTTCCAACCTCAATGATTCTATGATTCTCTAATTCTATGATCTGAAACTCTTGCTGACTGTCCCCAGACAGGGAACAGCCTGGAGCATCAGATGCAGCAGGTTTGCCTGTGCTTATTCTGGCCGGGGGAGCTGTGGATTTGGGCAAGGGAGCTGTGCCTGCCAATACCTTCTATTAGCATCACATATGTGGCACACACAGTGGAAAGATCTGGGGATCTTCTCCCAGCCCCTGGGGCAGCTCTCTGACAACAGGCTGCTCGGCACAGCAAGGCAGCGCTTGCAGAAGCCTTCACCCCATGACGGGGAGCTTGGAAGAGATCCGCTACAAGCTGGAGCAACCAGAGCACAGCACGCCTGCTCCCTGATCAAGGCAGGTGCTACAGCATCACGCACCGACTCGTCGCTCACGAGCTCCAGGATCCTCTTGGCAGTCTTCTTGGAGATATTCCGCAGAGGTGTGAGTCTATCTTCAACCTTCGTTGTGTTTTCTTTGCCTTCTTCTCCACTACCCACTTCTTCCTTCTTCTTCTCTCTCCCTTCCTCCTCCTGTCCCCCAGAGCCACTCTCTGAAACATGAAGAAAGAAGGGTGAGCAAGAGCGTTTGTGCTTTTGACTGTGCTCTCCCATCACATTGCCGCAGGAATCATCAGGGAAAGCACAATTGTTCCCTGCTACCTGGAAAACATCCCAAAGACCTTGGGACACGAGCTGGCTCTCGGCCAGCTTGTCGGGAACTGGGAGCACTGGGCAAAGTACAGTGCAAAGATCCCCAGGCTGGCTTGGCATGAGCCAGCTCAGGGCTGGGGACAGCCCCCACCTGGGCTTGCAATGTCACCCCCGTAAGAGCCCACCTTGTGATGGCAAGGACAGGAGTGACAGAAGGGGGTGTCACGCAGGAAGGTGAGGGTCTCCCCTTGACACAAGGGTGACAAGAGCACCGTGCATCCCACCTGTCAGGACCTCAGCAGCCAGCTTGGTCGCCATCCTCTTCACCTTGTAATGCCCGAGAGGGCCGACGTTGTCCAGGAACCAGTAACGGGGCTCTTCCCAGGGCAGCCCCAGTTGCTGGGTGTGAATGATGCGATCTGCATCGAGGGCTTTGCGCATCAGCCCTTTGGCTTCCTCCTCGTTCATGAGCCAGACCTCTGTGAACTTCTCAGCGTCGCTGACAGCAAAGTGCCTGTGCAGAAGGAGATGGCCCATGGAATGAGGCTCCGTGCCCCGAAATGACGAGTCAGCTCCCCCTGCACCTCACTTAGGTGCTCCAAAGCCCCATTGTGGGCAGATGCCGGCGCACACCCCACCTCATTCTGCTCTGCACCTCCTTGCACTGCCCCATGATGCGCTCGCAGTCGGCTGCCAGGCTCTGGTTCTCCTCTCTGAACTGCTTCTCTTGGCTGGCCAATTTTGTTCTCAGGTTATTGAGCAAGCTGTGGAGCCTGGGGAGGGACAGCAAAGCTGAGCATCCCCAAAGTGGCACCTTCGGGCATACCCAGCTGGGACAAAGGCTTTGGGACTAGTGACTACTCAGAGCCAAGGCCTGGCTACTGACCCTGATGCAGCTAGCACAGGTTGGCCATGGCCAGCCCTGGGCTAACCCCTGCCTGGGGATGGGTTGGGGCAGAGCTTGTTGGCCTGTGCTAGGTGATGGGCTCCACAAAAAACAGAGTATGGGAAGCGATGGCAGGTAAGGCAGAACCCATCTTCCAGGGATGGATTTTTACCGGTTGAGCTTCCTCTTCTGCTGGGATCTGATGATGGTGTTCTCCTCATCCTGCTTCTTAAGCACCTGAAGGTTGTAGTCCAGCTTCTCCTGGTTCAGCTGATAGATGGCTTTCATCTGCTGCAGCTGCCTCTCCAGGTTCTGGCATTTCAAAAACCATGAAAACAAGCCATGCTATGAACAAAGGCCACACTGAAGCCTGGATCCCACTGATCCTGCATCTCCAAACCCCATCTTCCCATGCACGTTCCCCCAGCTAACCCCTGCCCACGTGGCATCACCCGTGGGTGAGTGATGGAGGTGCTGGTTGTCCATAAATAAGTACATGCTACGGGGCCACATCTAGGGAAGGGAGAACGGACTGAAGTTGTACCCCGCTTTCACTCAGTGGGACACTAATCTGGGCCTCTCTCCTCAACCTAGCTGCTCATTTTCAGTTTTAGGAATTGCAAGTCCCTGAATTAACCAAGAGGCACAGAAGTTACTTGGCGAGCTGGAGGAAGGGACACACACGAGGAGTGACCGCACGAACTCCAGGTCTTAAGGAAACCAGAACCAAACAAACAACTGAAGCATTTGTGATGGCATCGTCTCACTGCATAGCCTGGGGGACAGGAGAGAGGCAGCGAGTTCTCCCCTTTGCTCCACACTGCCATGGAGGAGATATCTGCAATGGAGACCTCTCTCTCAGCTCCCCAGCCCCCTGTTTGCTCAACAGCTGATGGAAAGGAAGGAATTGCAGGCTGATTGTCCCAGTCTCCTGGGGCTGCTGCTCTGGGTTGGGAGACATCACACCCTTCCAATGATCGCTGGTCTCTGCCAGCCCTACAGCTCATTTGGAAGCGAGGGCATGGAAACTCTGGGAGCAGGCAGCGTGACTGCATGGAGACCCAACCCTCTGTCAGCAGCTCAGGCAGGGGGAACCTTGTTCTCGACCCAGGGGGATCTCTGGGGACAGGTAAAGAGTCCTGAGCTGTAGGCTGGAAGCAGGGAGGACACTGGTACACGGGTTATCAGGCTCAGAGCTCTCCTGGGTAGCCCTACGTACAACTGGGAGCGGACAAACAACCTGGGAAGACACCCAGAAGCAGTCCCACCTGGCTAGGATCAAAGCTTGACTGAAGATGGAGGGAAATCCCAGCAGGGCCAAGGGACCTTCTCCTTGCAGCAGATGGAGGAAGACTATGGCCCAAACCCTATCTTTAAAATGCTGATTCCCAACAAGTGAAACTGGGGAGTACTCATTAGCCCACAAACCACAGACTTCATCTTCAAATCTTGGCTAAGCTCCTGTTTCAGAGATACCTCAGGATAACGATAGCACAGGTTAATCAGGACAATAGGTGTTTCCAGCTTCTATCTTCTTATTCTCGCTGAACCGGAAGGGTGAACTCTGCGCTCTACAGTTACACAACTGCCGTGCTAAAGGGAACCAGGAGGACATCTACTTCATCCCTCTGCCCCACAGAGGGAAAGCTTCACCAAATCAGTCCCAGCAGAAACTGTTCCTAAAACCTTGTGTCAAAGAGCAGCAAACCAACGGCACCGTCCCTCTAGCCAACCATCAAGCAAGTTCTTGGCACTTCTAGGCTTTCCTAGCTTGAAATCCAGCTCTGAATATCAATTTAAATCTTCCCTACCAAAACTCAACCCCATTTTTTCTTGCATCTACAGTGGACACAGAAAAGAAGTCGTTCTCCTCCTCCATCATCCAGAATTGTGCATATTTGTAGACTCATCACCTCTCCACAGAAATCTCTTCCCTGGTCTAAGCAGCCCCAGCCTTTCAACCTTTTCTTAGGGGCCATTTGCGTACTTGGTCTGTTCTAGGCTCTCTCCCCTGTTCCCAAGCGTGTTGCCAAACCTGGACAAGGACACGTAGGTATAAAGTAGAGAGGAATAATTACTCCCCCTGCCTTATATATAAACCCTCCCACAACTGCAGCTAAAGGCAGCAGGTGCATTTTTACAACAGCCCCTCACTGCCGTCTGTGAACCTTGATCTGCAGCACGCTGCTGCCTCCCTCCCCAAATGGCTCAGAGCCACCCGCAAACGTTACACACTCCGTGTCACCTTCCAGGTTATCGAGATGAAGGCAAAGAAACCACAGAGTCAGGCGCCCTCTCTGGACTCACCTTTTCAGGCTGACAGGGACCTTGCAACGCTAATATTTCACTTGAAGTTGTGCAAAACCTTCTAGACATCGACCCTAGCCTATATTTCCCCAAGCTTCCTAGGAGGACATCCCATGGGACAAACAATGAGTCCTACTAAAGTCCAAATGCAACGTGTCCCGTTTCTACCATGCAGCCCGGGAAACAACGCACAACAACTAGCAGGGAAAGTGTCAGCGGCGGCAGGGCTCTCTGCTGAGCAGAGGAGGCTGAATGATGCTGGGCAAAGCCAAACCTGACAGCCCAGGACCAACGCCAGGGCTGCCGGCCAGGGGACCAGCAGGATTGCAGAGAGCCACAGATGCAGTGCTTTGTTGCCACTGCTGCTCGCAGAGGATGCAGCGGGCTGAAAGGTATCTGTATCTTGGGGAAGCCGCGGCTATGAGGTTTGGATCTCACGTGCAGTGAGAGCTCCTAGGGCTTGTTCAGCCAGCGGTGTGCCCGGGCTGTGCTCTTCCGCTGCATGTCCTTCTCCCTGAGTAAGGGCAAACTCCTGATAGTTCTCACACCACGTGGACTTCATGGGTGTCAGAGAAATCATGGCTAGATGTCTGAGGAAAAAACTCACACCTCCTAGGACAAGGACCCTGACAAAGGAAGAAATTAAGTTGATACGAAATGATCTGGTGTCAGGACATCACACTGTTTGATTCTCCTATCAATCATGATGCCAGAAGTAGTAAACGCCTCGAGCTACCCAGGTTCTTCATAGGTCCTAGAGCTACAGTTCATGTGCTACAGACCTCTGAGAGCCAAGGGCAGGTGGACACTGTGGCATAGGACCCACGGAGAGAAGAGAACAGCTCTATCACCCTGTTGGCACGGGGCTGGGCTGTGCACGCTGAGGAGCTGAGGTGACCAGACACCAGCTGCAGCTTTCATACCGTCTAGCTTTCCCACAGAGCCAGCTACACACAGAAAAGCCCAGGGAGATCTGCTCCACTGCCTCCCCGCATGGTACACGGCAGCCTTTTCTCCGTACTTGCACATCGGTCTCCAGCTGGATCTTCATGCTGTTATACTCCTCCTCATCCTGCACCCGCAGCTGATTCAGCTGTTTCTCAAACTCTTCCACCTTCCTCATACGGGCATGCAGGTATTCCAGCTACGGGCAAAAGGAGAACATCATCCATCAATGGTGACACCTTCCTCACGTAATCACAGCTCATTTGGCCAGCCCAAAGCAAGGTCATGCATGGATAACTCCTCTGCAGAAACCTGCCCCTTTGCCCCCCACACTCCTGAGGAACCAGCCACCTTCGTGCACACGGGTCTTTCAAGGCAGCCCGGTGCTGGAGAGCGGCACTGGTCCTGGCAGCCTTTGGCCCCTCACTACCAGAAGGACATTGAGGTGCTGGAGCGTGTCCAGAGAAGGGCAACCAAGTGGTGCAGGGTCTGGAGCACAAGTCTGATGGGAGCGGCTGAGGGAACTGGGGGTGTTGAGCCTGGAGAACAGGAGGCTGAGGGGAGACCTGGTCACTCTCTACAACTACCTGGAAGGAGGGTGCAGCCAGGTGGGGTCGGTCTCTTCTCCCAAGTAACAAGCGATAGGACAAGAGGGAACGGGCTCAAGGTGCTCCAGGGGAGGTTTAGGTTGGAGATTAGGAAAAATGTCTTCCCCAAAGGGTTGTCAAGCCCTGGGACAGGCTGCCCAGGGAAGCGGTGGAGTCCCCATCCCATGCTTCCTGGGGAAGTGGTGCAGTCCCCATCCCTGGAGGGATTGAAAAGACGTGGAGATGTGGTGCTTGGGGACATGGTTTAGTGGTGGGCTTGGCAGGGTGAGGTTAATGGTTGGACTCGGTGATCTTAAGGGTCTTTTCCGACCTAAATGATTCTGTGATTCTATGATTCTAAATTTCATGCGGACCTTACCTCTTGTGCGTTGTGGGCTTGGATGGCTTCCTCCCACTTCTTCCTGTTGTTGTCCAGCAGCTCTCGCCGTTCAAGCTCAAAAGCTTTCTGTGAAGGAGACAGAGCCCTTCACTATCATGATGGCACTGCTTGTTGCCAACCTTACATTAGTCCAGGCCAGCAGCCTCCAGGAGAGGATCGGCTGCGGACTGGTGCCGCTGTCCGATGAACACACCGGCCTGATCTCTCCTCTCCGTGCCAGGACCCCGCTGGCAGAGACCTCACGTTGTGACTGCTGCCATCAGCCACCCAGAGCTGGCAGGGATGCTCTTGGTGGTGAGTAGCTCTGCGAGTTCACTGGAAATCATTGCTTGATGGTTACCAGTGGAGTTTGGTCAGCCAGCCACCTGATTTCACCCTACAAGGCATTAAATGGGGAGAGATGCCCACACTCAGCAACAAACGCAGGTTTTATTCATGAGGTGGGACTTTGCGGTCTGCAGAAGGTAAGGCTAAAGAACTAGAACGGTCCTTTCTGGATTTTAGAGACATGGTAATCAGCCGTCAAGCAGCCACAGCTTTCACATGCCACCAAGTTGCTCCGCACTGAACCACCGTCATTCACAGCACCGTATAAACCAGCCCCTCAGCACCGTTCAGTGCTCTTGCTTGGCCAGATTTCAGCCTCGTTCACCAAGACATCAGCCCTGCTGCTCTGCACAGCAGTCAACCCAGCCAGCGCAATGAGCCTGGGGCCTTTTTGCCGTAAATATGGAGAGGCAAGCGGCTGCAGGTTTTCTCATTGGACTTTTCCTCCACCATATGAACTGGCTACCTCAATCTGTAGGAGCTTGTGACGGTAAGTTTTCAGCATGATCCTGATCTGTTCCTCCATTCTCTCCAAAAGCAGGTAGATATCATCCGACTGCTTCTTAATGGCCTGCACGTATTGCTCGTCTTTGTTTTTCAGCTCCTGGAGGAGGAGAGCAGATGCTGAAATCAGAGAGAAGTGTTTGACCAGGAACCCTCAGGGGCTAACTGAGAGGGTAAGACCCAGATGCTGCTTTTTCCAAAGGAGAAGAGGTGAGGAGAGCAAAGAGCCGGAAAGTCAAGAGGTAGTTAGGAGGGAAGACGGGAGGAAAGACAGCTCATCGCTGCCAAAGGGTCCAGGTGAGATGGAGCGGGAGGCAACATGCCTGCAGACACACCACTCCTTCTCCAGAGGCCAGGGAACCTGCTGTGGGGAAGGCTTTCCTCCCTCTACAAAACCACTCCTCCTCTCTGCTCATTTGCCTTTTTTCTTTTTACTGTGCAATCTGGGACCTGCCAGTTTGCTTTAGAACAGCATCTTCCAGAGCTTGAACCCCCCTGTCCTTCCTGGTTGTCCCTGTCTGTCACCCACACTACCTCCTGCAGTTCACCGATGAGCTTGTTCTTCTCCTCCAGAAGCAGAGCGCACTGCTGTTTTCAGCACCTGCCACAGCTCCTGCGGGATCGTCATCTCCTTGGCCAAGGCCCACTTGGAAGTTATCTCCTCAAACTTGTATGTGCTAGACTTAGCTTCGCTCTCCAGCTTCTCCACCCTGCAGGCAGAAAGGACACAGCAAACGGGGAGCTGGGGCAGGGCAGAAAGTGCTTCAGACATGGTTCTGTAGCCCAGCACCTGGTTCCTCAATGAGATTCCCACTGGGAATCCTGCTGAGCAAGGGACAGCCATCCTGCTATGGCCAGCCTACCATAAATTGTTCCTACAGTGCCCTCCAAAGGCAGCAGGAGCAAGGACTCAGTGTTTCCTAGCTGATCTCCCAGTCCTGGAGATCCAGTCCCTTGGAGACAGCCCAGCTCCCGGGGGTGAAGCAGGACAGGTTTGCCCAGGAAGACACACAGAGAGGATCTGGTTTGGGTTTGTGTGGCCAGGTTTTGGTAGCGGGGGGGCTACAGGGGTGGCTTCTGTGAGAAGCTGCCAGAAGCTTCCCCCATGCCTGAAAGAGCCAATGCCAGATGGCACCAAGACAGACCCGTCACTGGCCAAGGTCAAGCCCACCAGTGACGGTGGTAGCGCCTCTGGGGTAACACAGTTAAGAGGAAAAAAAAACCATAGCGGGAGCTTTTGCAGTCAGACAGAGGAGTGAGAAGACGTGAGAAACTCTGCAGACACCAAGGTCAGTGCAGGGGGGGGGGGGTGCTCCAGGAACCTTTTTCTAAGTTGAGCATGTTTTGCTGTGACAGTAATTGGCAAGTGATCTCTCCCTGTCCTTATCTCGACCCACCAGCCTCTCGTTATATTTTCTCTCCCCTGCCCAGCTGAGGAGGGGGCTGACAGGGCAGCTTTGGGGGGCACCTGGCCTCCAGCCAGGGTCAACCCACCACAGGATCAGAGAGTAATCGAGGCTGGAAGGGCTTCAGGAAATCATCGGCTCCTGATAACAGCAGGATTAACTTCAATGCCAGAGCAGGTTGCGCAGGACCTCGTCCAGGCATGTGCTGAGTATCCCCAAGGAGGAAGATCTCTACAACATGAGGGCCCTGACTCTGACCACTCTCACTGTGAAGATCTTCATATCCAATTTCTCAAATTAGCATAGCCTCACGTTCTTCCTGCCTGGGGTTTTGTCCCAGCGCATTCCCATGGTGTGGCTAATAACTAACCCCATCCCCATGACTGGAGGGCAACCTCTGGAAACAGGCCATTTACTTAGCACAAGGTGGCAGGTTCTCCACCACGGTGTCACCTCCAGGCTCAGGAGAGCTGTTTGCCAAGCCAGACGTGAGGACAGCTCTGCCTATGCTTCTGGAGCAAGGAGACCACAACTATACGTGGTACAGGCTCTTGGTGACAAGCTGAGAACCAGCTGCACTTCTCACACTCTGGACCTGAAGATGTAACGGGTCTGGAGGAGATTGGTGACCAGACAGTCCGTAGTACTGCAGTGCCACCTGGGGAAGCCACCAGCCTTGACCTGCAGAGCTCTGTAAAGACCCAGCTGTGGCAGGTGGGACCTGGAGGCTCTTCGTGTGCCTAAATTTTCCTTTTTGAACATAAAGTCAGCAGTTCAACAACTGCTAAGTGTTCCTGGATGACCAGGGTTAGGATGTCCTCAGGTGTTGGATGCACCAACATCTCCACTGCTCCTTCCCAGTAGCGCAGACCCACCGTGCAGTCTCTTACCTCTGCAGCTTCAGCTCTGCCTCCTCTGCCCTCCTCTGCGTTTCCCTCGCGTCAGCAGCCACCTGGATATTTGTCACCATCTGCGTGCCATCAAAGAGCAGCTTGGCCAGCCTCTGTGAAGTAGGTGGTACGCATCTCACACCCGGAGACCCGAGCTCTGGAGGGAGGGATACTGGAGGAACTCTTGTTATGCCTGTCCAGCCTCTGGCTCCTCTCCCCGGGCTGAGGTGCCCATGTGGTCTCTCAAGCCCCGTCTATGGCAGGACTGATGAGCCCTGCAAGGACCTCAATGCACCCATCGGTCCTCCCTCTCCTAGAAAGCCCTGCAGGCCATCAGCAGCAAGAGGAATGTGCTCAGAGCACCTTCTTGTTTTGCTTCCCCTGTGTGTGCAGATGGGGGTTTGGGTGGGGGTTTGGATGCGTGACGGCAGTCCCAGACCCTTCCAATCCACAGGGAAATCATATTCCCAGGATCCAGCCCAAGAATCACCCCCCACCCAGTCCTGAGGAGTTTCTGTCCCTGCTGCCTCTCACATAAATGCTGCTGTGGACACTAAACACCACACAAAGCTAAAAGGAGGGTAAAGCCAAATGTGTAGAGGTCAGGGACCCGAGAGGACCATCCTGTCCTCCTGCCACACCTGCCTGCTCTCCTCAATCTGCTTGTGACTCCTTCTCTGCTCTTCTTCCTCCTCAGCCACCTTCGGCTCCGCATCTTCTCCAAAGGCCTCCCTGGGCAGAAAAGGGGAAAAGACAGAACATTTTACACCTCACCATCTTCCTAAAGCTCGGAGATGGCCTTGGATCTGGGATCCCAGCCCAGACTGCATGGTTTAGCACAGCACACTTCGCTCTCTCTTCCCTTCAGCAGGTTTAGTCCCAGGCCAGGAGGTCCCCACCGATGCAGAAAGGAGGCAGGAAAGGCTGGGACAATGCCCCTGAGGGAAAACGAGGGAGTCCAGGCTTCCCTTTCTGGAGCTGGGAGCACAGCCCAGGGCTGGTTACTCCTGCAGCACAGGGCTGGGGGGCTCAGCCCCTCTTTGCTTCCCAGAGGGAGGAGGGCAGGGGGCAGAGGCAGCCTGGGGGCAGCCCTTCGGTGGCTGCGGAGGACTTTTGCTTGGCCATGAAGACAGTCAGCTTCTGCCTGGAGCCATTTCAGCACTGACACCGATCCCATGCTAGTTCCTTGGGATCAATCTAACCTAAAGGGAAGGCTTGGGGACCAGGAAGGGGAAAACGAGCCTTTTGGGGTGGGAGTGGATGTTAGCGACCGAGGTCCAGTCTGGTCCCATGGGTTGGTATCAGGGCCCACAGGCACCTCGTTGTGGTTTACTCTTAGTTTGAGGAGGAGATGATGGTTACTGCCCCAGTTTTCCCCAGGCTGGGGGAAGACGAGGTCCCTGACCCACCCAGCCTGGAGGGACAGCAAAGGCTTGAGAGAGGACCCCAGTCTGGGAAAGGTGTGCCCAATTGCTGGTGAGTCCCACTTTTGGGAACAACATCAGCCTCATCCAGGAGGACACTGGCCTGGTGCTGATTTTGTCCAGCGGGGGGAAGAGGGTCCATGGCAGGGCAATATCCTGGGGAAGGGGGTATCGCTGCCCCAGTGCTGGGCTGGGGACGGGACAGGGATGTCCTTTGGGATTGGGAGGGGTGGTTCCTGACCTCCTGCCATTTGGCAGGGAATGGGGAATGTCCCCAACCCATGGCCAGTTTGGGGAGAGGTCCTGGGTGCTGTGACGGGTCCCTGCCCCCTGCCCGTTCATTGGCCCCGGTGCGGGTGGGGGGTAGGGGATGTTCTGAGACCTGGGGCCAGTGCCGGAGCCTGTGCTGGTCCTGGGTGGGGGGGGTCAGGACTGGGTGCCAATTTGGGGTGAGCGATCTGGAACTGGCACTGGTTCGGGGGTGGGGGCACGAACCCCAGTGCCGCTTTGGGCAAGAGGAGATCACCCGTGACCAGGCATGGTGCTTGGGGAGAAGGGGCGGGACTTGGTGCCTGTTTGGGGCAAGGAGGGGCCTGGACCCGGCTCTG